GTTTATTCAAAGTATCTCAATGGTGTAACGTTGTCGACTTATTGGGAAAAGGGAAGAAGATGACTTTGAAAGAAACCGATGCTTTGATCATGACTCCTTAGATGAAAGTCCGGGCATTGCAATCAAGATTTCATGGTTAGACCATTGATGCCCTGTTTACAAAAGGATCTATAAACTTTTGTAGTGCTTGGTTGCCAATCCTGTCATTTCTAATTTTTTAAAATAGAGTAGGCATCTTTGTAATATTAATTGGGATAAAAATGAGTTAACACGCTGACTGGGTTCAGATCTTGACTTAGACAATCTCTGAGGCCCTTACAAAAGGATTGTTTTTCTTTATAAAATTAAACATTCCCCCTTATTCTATATTTGATTTTATTTATTGGACAGCAAGTGACCAAATCCAGTGATCTCCTAAAGATTTCGTGGACCTCATCTGGCTCGACCCAGCGAGAAAGCCAGGGTTATCCCATCCTCAGAGCTCAGGTTCTCAGGGTCTCGACTCTAGAAGTTAGACCGACTCTATCCACTATACAACCCTAGGCTCGGAAATTAGTAACATGAGTTAGGAGAAAAAGGCTTGAGCCTTTGATTGCTTAAGATATGCTTTAAACTTGATAAGATTAAAATATTCTGCAGATTTCTTCTTAATTAATATTTTTATAGTTCCTTCAATATCTTGGCTAGGGATGTTGTCAGATATTTAGTTCTTTTATCTGATTGTTCAGTTTAGTTTGTTTAATAATAGAAACTCATATTCAAACACCTGCTATACATTGCAATTTCAGATCTAGCAATTATGCTACCATCACTATAAAGGGCAAGTCCATCATTTAAAAATTCCGAGTTCTTTGTTATCAACTTTTTAGTCTTGTTCCTCCCAAGTAAAGCTCTAGGAATTCATGTACTGCTTGGGTTGTTTGGTAAGGTAGATTGTAGGATATCAGATTGTATCTGTTTACCATAGTTTTTTGTGCTAACATAGCTTTTGGAGTTGAAAGTTTGGCATCTATATATATCCAGCCTTGTCTAAATCATCGTTCGAGGTAGTAAAAAACCTAACGAACACATTGGACCACTTCTAGATCGCTTTGTGTTGTTGCTATCTTCATCGTACTTTGCATGGAAAACATGATTTATAATGTTCGTGAATTATTAACATTCCAATTTATATGCTTGAAGTATACATTGTTTTGGTTCTTTCTCAAGGCACACAAGAGGAAGCCGCAGCAGCATATGATATGGGAGGAAGCTGCAGCGGCATATGATATGGCAGCAATAGAGTTCAGGGGGCCTAATGCTGTTACCAACTTCGACATTAGCAAATATACAGACAAGTTGAAGAAATTCGCACCGGAGGTCGAAGTGAAGGAGGAAGATGTCCAAGTAATGAATCAAGAAACTCTCGAGATCGTCCCTCAAACGCAAGGAGACGAAGCAATCAACCTTCAATACCATCGAAACCATCAACAAGAGGAATTCAATCAAATGGTTCGACAAAGTGTCCCAAAGTTAGAGTTGATTGATTCCATTGACTCGGATGCAATGGTGATGATGGACCCCACCGAGGATATCGAGCACCATCCTTGGTACGACATGTGCCTAGACTCAGACCTCAATTCGCTTCAAATTCCCAACATTCCTCTCGATGAACCAAACGAGTTGCTGGGATTGCTTGATGACAAAGGCTTCGAGGATAATATTGATTTCATTTTTGACGATTCTTTTAATGAGAACGAGTTTCACCAGGATGCAATGTCCGGAACTACTGCTGGAAGTAAAGACGTTGAGGCAGATGTTTTCGAAGGTCGAGACGAGAAGGGGCGGGATGCATCATTAACATCTTCTTCACCACCCTCGACAACAACATCAGTTGGTAGCAACATATGGTAGTATTGTTATTGTAAGAATTTTTCAATTTCAGTTCAGGAAACTTCTTGTGTGTTCTTTACTATTATCAAACTCTCGGAATTAGACATGTTCTTTTAGGTATTACCTATACATGATTGGCTCAGAGTTGTTATGTGAAGAATCAAATTAGTTTCATGTTTTTAGTATTCTTATTTTTTTTTTTCATACTTTTATCCTTTTTATTGACAAATACAAACAAAAAGAAAAATGAGCATGCCAAAGGTCAAGGGATCAAGAAATCCAGCATTCGTTTGAGTTACTTTTTAGTCTTTGACTGATAGCTGCTTATGAACCGTGGCCTGAAACGGTTGAGTCACACCTCTTCCCTAACGTAAACCAAGCATTCATCTTAGATTCAATCGAATTGGAAATGTCGAATCAAACCATTTGTCCTAAAATTTGTAACTTAAGTCAGAAATTTTTGCAAGAAAATTATTTTGCACAAAATGTTGTCTGAGTAAAAATGAATGGTGAAAAGGGGAAAGAGTTGAACATGAATACAATGAAACTTACAAGACTAATTTGAGCGAAGAGGGGAGAGTACTACATCTTGAAGGGAGCTACCCCTTTTCATTGCAGCCTTAAACTCTTCGAAGGTAACTTTTCCATCGTTGTTCGCATCCATTAGGTCAAATATTTCGTCTAGTTGAAACAAGGCGTGTTAGGCAATTTGTTGTCAAACGACTCCTCGGGCTATAATGTAATCCCGGTTCTATTATCAATCGGCTTTGACCATGTGATTGATTAGTATATCGACACAATTATCGAGACAACTTAATCCACATTCCTATGGACCGTTCGAAGCAACTTATTGTTAATAGTGTTGCTCATGGTTCGTCCCATTTCCTTGGAGGGCTATGTATTAATTTGAAGCCCGTTATCTTTGAGTCGAGCCTTGTTTGGTCCACTAAATAACCCTAACCTAACTTACCTTGTTTGGTTATTTTCTTGGCTTATATTCTTGGCCTTCCTCTCGGCCTCCCTATGAAGAATGCCCAACCTCTCTCTGTGACACTCTCCCTCGGTTCCTTCTCTTCTCTGTGACCTTTGTGGTTTATTTCAGGTGGGCATATTATTGTTCTTCATCTTGCCCAACTAATAGCAATCGGAAGTGGGGCAGCATTGGTGGTGGTTTGGAGTTGTCTCAACCTGTTGGTGTCGCGATTTCTTGGTGAAACTGAGCCCGGTTTATCTTGGTGTTGGCTGGAATTTGGCACTACATCTGGTATCAGAGCTGCCGGTCATCTCCTCTGGCCAATATCCACTAAAACGGCTACGAGTCTCGCGATTTCTCAAAGGGGCCGAATATGAAATTGTCAATTCCGACCAACGCGACCTCTGTTGGACGAACGGAGGCCGGACTCATAACCAGCAGGTGGGGGCGCCTCCGGTGGTGAGGCGCGTGGGGCGACGGCGCGTGGCGGTCTGACGGCGGCACGTGGAGGACTGCCTGCACAGTTTTTTCGTGCCATTTCACTCATTTTGATTTCCTGAACGTACTAATGTGTTTGGTTTAGTGTTTCAGGTTGTGCAGAAAAGATTGGACGATTTTGCCCCTACCTTCAATCTGCATTTGTTGATCAGAATTGCTATATTTGCTGAATCTTTAGGGCGAATAGTGGTGGCCCTAAAGCAGCAAATTCGCATCTCTCTCGATTATACGGACTCAGACACGTCCGCTCTGTAAATTGGCTTAACCCGTTAATTTTCAGCATTAGCGTGTCACCGTGTGGGGTGACAATTGGCTGGGGGTTGTCATTCCTTGGCAACCATTGCTTATGCTAGAATTAGGGTTACATGCTCTTGATTGTTTTGATTGAGTATTTGTTTTTTGGGTTGAAATCAGTTTTGTAATTTTTAGGATCTAATTACTGTGAGACTAGTTATCTGCTAGACGAATTTTTTGCTGCATTGTTATTTCCGCTGCTTACTGATTTCGTTAGAAATACCGTGACCTTACCCGTACGAACAATCCCTTGATCTAAGATCGCGAGTCTTACGAAACCCTAGAAATCTAGAACGGTGTATACTGTCTGTGACCCTAGGACTACTTTGTGTGGTTTGATTGTGGTTTGTGTATTTTTTTACTGTTGTGTAAAAAATTACAACTCACAACTTTGATTTGGGAATTTTTAATGGAAAGGGTGACTTTGCTATTTGACAACAAAAAATGAAGGGCATTTTAGTCCAACAAAATGTTTCAAATGCCATTGAGGGCAATTTTTCAACTGATTTTTTACAAGAACAAAGAGAAGAAGCCGATGAGCTTACTTATACCTAAATCATTTTACACTTGTCTGATGCCGTTTTAAGAATGGTGGGTAAACTAAAAACCACTAAAGAACTTTGAAAAAAATTAGAAGACTTGTATTTGCTTAAGTCTACACCGAATAAACTTTACTTGCTTGAACGTTTTTTCAGTTTCAAAATGGATCCTTCAAAAGATCTTTATGACAATTTAGACGTGTTTAATAAATTGGTGCAAAATATAGTTAATTGTGATGAGACAGTGTCCGAAACTTATAAGGCTGTCATTTTGTTCAACGCAATTCCTGGTTCCTATAAGGAAGTTAAGAACGCCATTAAGTATGGTAGAGACACGTTGACACCTGAAATTGTCATAGATTCCCTTAGAAGTAAAGAAATGAAAATAAGGGCTGAAAAATAGGATAAGAAGAACGGTGAGGTACATATGATGCGGGGTAGAACTCAATTTAGGCAAAATAGTCATGATAGACATCAAACTAGTGGCAAGTCAAGTGGTAATGGATGGAAAAAGAAGAGCAAAGATAGGTCTAGATCAAAATCTAGGACTAAGGCGAGAAAATGCTATAGTTGTGGAAACACAGAGCATTTTATAAAATATTGTCAAAGTAGAGATGTCACGTTTAACGAAAATGAGATGCCGTGTATTAAGGGGGAAACTGAACTTGAGAGTGAAGCTGAACCAGGTGAAGAGAAACCAGTTTAAGGTGGAGTTAGGAAAACTCAGTCCACCTGCCCCTACTGCTTCAAGTGAGGTGGAGACTCAAGCTCAGGAATCCGAGGTGGAGAATAGTAACGAAATAGTGACAGAAGAGCACTATGAGAAAGAAAATCCTTTAGCTAACTATAATTTAGTTAGGGATAGAGAAAGGAGACAAACGAGAGAACCTAGAAGGTTCGGTTTTGAATCTGAATTAGCTTTCGCCCAGGCTAGTTATGAAGAACTAGCTGATAAAGAGCCAAAGACCTTTGAAGAGGCAATAGGCAGTGATCAATCTAATGAATGACTTAAGACAATGAAAGAAGAGATGAGTTCTCTAGAAAAGAATCATACTTGAGAGCTAGTACCTAGGCCTAAGAACAAATCAATTGTTGATTGCAAATGGGTCTTTAAGGTTAAGGAAGGTACTAGCAGCTCAGAACCCCTAAGGTTTAAAGTTAGGTTAGTAGCTAAAGGTTATACACAGAAGGAGGGCGTTGGTTATAATGAAATGTTCTCACTAGTTGTTAAGTACACCACTATTAGGGTCATGCTTGCATTGGTTGCACACTTTGACTGGGAACTCGAACAACTTGACGTAAAAACTATTTTTTTACATGGTGAGCTTGATGAACAAATTTTCATGAATCAACCAAAATGTTTTAAGGATAAGTCAAAACCTGATTATGTGTGTTTTCTGAGAAGATCCTTGTATGGGTTAAAACAATCTCCTAGACAGTGGTACAAGAGGTTTGATTACTTTGTACTCATTATAGGGTTTCAAAGAAGTAAATTTGATCACTGCCTGTATTTTCAATACAATGAGACTGATGATAATTATCTATTTTTGTTGCTCTATGTGGACGACATGCTTTTGATTGGATCATCTTCTAAGTGGATAAATAACATAAAAGCAAAATTAAGTGGTGAATTTTACATGAAAGACCTAGGTAAGGTTAAGAGAATCTTAGGTATTGAAATTGAAAGAGATAGGTCAAATTATATTTTGTTTTTGCATCAATCTCCATACATATCCAAAGTATTGAAGAAATTTAATATGAGTGATTACAAACCTGTCACGTTGTCTCTTGCTAATCATTTTGTTTTATCGAATGAACAATCCCCTTGCAATGAGCGTGAAGTAGAATACATGAGTAAAGTGCCTTACTCTAATGTGATTGGTTCTATAATGTATTTGATGGTTTGCACTAGACCGAATTTAGGTTTTGCTATTAGTACTCTCAGTAGATATATGACTAATCCGGGCCCTGAACATTGGGAAGCGCTAAAGTGACTATTAAAGTACGTGAAAGGTACAATTGACGTAGATTTAAAGTTTAGTGCTACCACTGAAGCTATTAAAGAAGCTCTATAGCTTAGAGGCCTATTTCATGAACTATGTGTCTTTAATGATTAAGTGGTAGTGTATTCTGATAGTCAGTCATCTATACATTTATGCAAGAACCCCGTTTTTCATGAGCGCACTAAACACATTGATGTTAGACTCCACTTCATTAGAGATATAGTATCTCAAAAGGTGGTAAGACTTGAAAAGGTCCACACCCACTACAACCCCTCTAATATGGGGACGAAGGTACTTCCACTGGCAAAGTTTAGAAGTTGCAAGGAACTTCTAAACATTGGTACAGGTAAATAATTTTCAATTTTTATCGGTTTTCTATTAGAGGTGTCACTAATGGGAGACATTTTTCTTTTGTAGGTCCTTTTACACCAAGGTGGAGGTTGTTAGGCAATTTGTTGTCAAACGACCCCCCCTCGAGCTATGATGTAACCCCAGTTCTATTATAAATAGGCCTTGGCCATATGATTGATTAGTATATCGACACAATTATCGAGACAACCCAATCCATATTCCTATGGACCGTTTGAAACAACCTATTATTAATAATATTGCTCACGGTTCGCCCCATTTCCTTGGAGGGCTATGTTATTAATTTGAAGCTCATTATCTTTGAGTCGAGCCTTGTTTGGTCCACTAAATAACCCTAACCTAACTTAACTTGTTTGGTTATTTGCTTGGCTTATATTCTTGGCCTACCTCTCGACCTCCATATAAAGAATGCCCAACCTCTCTCTGTGACACTCTCCCCTCGGTTCCTTATCTTCTCTGTGACCTTTGTGGTTTATT